TTCATTCATCTCTTTACATTCAAAAATTTCTTTAAAAACTTCTTTAAGTATTCCTTTTAAAATATCTTTAAAAACAATATAAAATTCATTTCCTATTCCATCTATACCTGGACTTTTCTTTTTATTTAGTTGATTTATTGCAATTTCAATCTCTTCTTCTTCTATTTCTCTGTCACATTCTTTGTTGTCATCTTTTTCTAGTTTTAATTTTATATAATTTAGAATTTTCCTTTCTTTTTCTTCATCAATACCTTTTGCTTTAAATAGATCTTCATAAAAATGTTTGATTTCTTCTAGTATTTCTGTTTCCTTTCGCAATTTTTCCATTTCTCCCTTTAATTTCCTTTAGTATTCCTGCTTTACCTCTTTGCTTCTCTAAATCAAAAAAGAATTTCGTGCATTTTTCCCCTTCTACTGTGTATTTAGATCTGCTCCTCAACATTGCCCCCTTATATTTGTCTTCTTCTAAATCTCGTAATTTTTGCTCTATTTCTTTGATTTTTTCAATATCTTTATTTTCCTTGTTTAATTCTTTTTCTAAGGATCTTTTAACTTCTTTTTCTGTATACTTTTTACATCTTTGTAGTACTGCGCAATATTTGATTGTGTATTTTCTTATTTGATATTTTGTGTTTTCCCAGCATATCCTTTTATCTTCATCATACATTCTATTTTCTTTTTCATTCTCTATTATTTCTTTGACTTTTTGAACATAATCTTCATTTTTTAAAATGGTTGTGTTTAAAAGTTCCTGGTCCTTTTTGTATGTTATCTACATTCACTTTAAAATGCAAGAGCTTATGATCACTAAAACTGTTCTCTTCATACTGTATGTTTTCTATAAAATTTTCAATATTTCTAGTACATAAAATAAAATCTATTCTCATTTGACATATAAAATTCCCCACTATTTGTCTCCTTGAAAACTCTCTTTTTTCTCTATTCCTTTCCCTCCATATATCTACTAAACTATTTTCCTTTATTAACTCATTTAGTTCCTTTCTTCCTATATCCGATTTAAAAACCATTCCATCAGCCATATCTTGTTTTCTAAAAACAGTATTAAAATCTCCCATCATTATTATTTCTTTAAAACCTTTTAATACTTTATTTAAAACCTCAAAAAATTCTTTTTTGTCTTTATCTTCTGTTGGTGCATGTATATTTGCTATTATTAATTCATGTCCTTCATAGTTCACCTCTATTACTAAACATTTTCCATAATTATCCCTATACACAATTCTTTTAAAGTTTAAAACATCTTTCCTTATTAAAAAAGCAACACCTCTTCCAGATTTTCCATCACCATTATTATATATAATATCCCCTTGCCACAACTTTTTTAAATCGTCCATTGCATGTTCTTTCCAGTTTGTTTCCTGTAAACCTATCACTTCCTTGTTTTTACATTTCTCTCTTATTTTCTCAAATTTATCTTTTCCCATCAGTCCCCTTGCATTAAAAGACACACAGTTTAAAACCATTAAAATAAATAAAAATGAAATTAAAAACCTACACATCCTCATTGTCCTTTCTCTCCTTCCAACGCTCTCAACCAACAACTTCTTTCGTTAAAAGAGACAAAGATTAAAAGCATTTTAAAATAGATAAAATATTTTAAAAACATCATTTTTCTTCATCTTCTTCCAGTCCCCTTAACACTTCATACCTATTTACATATTTAGCTCTGTTCTTTGTTAAAACCTTTTTCTTTGCCATGTCCAAGTTTGGTTTTACCTTAAAAGTTCTTCTTCTTAAAAATCCTCTTTCCACTTTGTTCTTATCCACATTTTCCATCCTTGTTTCTTCATCATTTGCCATTCCTTCAGCTTGACCAGTCTTTCTTAGTTCCTCTTTTTCCACAGTGCTTAAAAAAGTTTTAAAACTGTCCGATATTTCCATTTGTGACCACTGTCCATCCTGTCCTGATAACTGTACTTCATTCTCTTCATTTTCGTTTTCTCCTTCCTTTTTTTCATTGTTATTCATTTCCTCCTCCATTGTCCTTTCTATTGCTTCATTATCTTCTTCCCTTTTGTTGTTTTCTTCATGCACCTGCCGGTCCTGATCTTCTCCTCCTCCTTCCCCTCCTTCCATCCAGCATTCACACTTGTTTAAAAAATTTTTACATTCCGGGCACCTGACAGTGATACAGTCTCTTGCAAAATGCCCCCTTTCCTCACATTTGTAGCACTTGAATTCTGGACAGTCTTTCAGCATGTGTTCCGGGCTCATGCACAGCCTACAGGTCTTCACCTGATGACTGTGCATCACCCTGAAGTACTGCGTTCCTTCTGCTGTCTCCATTTTTGTGCTGTATGGCAAGGATGCCACCTCTTTAGGGAACCTCACTTTAAGGAACCTTGTTCCGTCTTCTATGTCGGTACCCGGATAAAACCTTCGTTTAATTTTAGATATGGGACAAACTCCCCAAGTATCTAATTTTTCCAGAATTTCCTTATCTTCAAGATAGACCGGCAGGTGCATGAAGGAAACAACAAAATCCCTATTATGAAGCTTTTTAATTTCACAGTTCACCCCATTTATCATCAGTTTGTCAGTCAATTGTTCACATAATTCTTCTGTTTCCATTGTTAGTTCGTACTCCTTCCCTTGTCTTGGTCTTAAAGCCAGAATTTTTCCATGTCCACACTTTTCAATCACCGCTTTAATAATATCTTCTGCTCTCACTTCCTGTACATCTTCCACATTAATGATAACTGTTGCCTCCTTTAAATACTTTCTTCCACCTATTTGGCCTCGATCGTGCAGATTCGCACTCTATAACATCAGAAAGATCCGACCCTTCTTATCTGAACATGCAGCTAAACTCCTTGTTCAAACTCTTGTTCTCTCCAAACTGGATTACTGCAACTCTCTACTAGCTGGGCTTCCAGCTAACTCTATCAAGCCTCTTCAGCTGCTCCAGAACGCAGCAGCACGAGTGGTCTTCAATGAACCTAAACGAGCACATGTCACTCTGCTGCTAGTCCGTTTGCACTGGCTGCCAGTTGCTGCTCGCATCAAATTCAAAGCTCTAATGTTTGCCTACAAAGTGACTTCTGGCCTTGCTCCTTCTTATCTGCTCTCACTTCTGCAGATCTATGTGCCCTCCAGAAACTTGCGTTTTGTGAATGAACGTCGCCTCGTGATTCCATCCCAAAGAGGGAAGAAATCACTTTCGTGAACGCTCACGCTTAATCTGCCCAGTTGGTGGAATGAACTCCCTAACTGCATCAGAACAGCAGAGTCACTCGCTATTTTTAAGAAACGACTAAAAACTCAACTATTTAGTCTCCACTTCACTTCCTAATCTGCAATTGCCTCTCTGGATATCACACTAACTGTACCCAAAAAAAATAAATAAAAATACTAATACTAATACTTTCCTTCTTAGACTTTACAGACCTGAAACTTGCCTATAGCACTTATTCATTGTTGCTCTTATAGTTTTGTAAATTGCTTCCTTGTCCTCATTTGTAAGTCGCTTTGGATAAAAGCGTCTGCTAAATGACTAAATGTAAATGTAAAATGACGTTTGCCTGAAAAACTTATGCTGAAAAAAGAGCACTTTAAAAGCTTATTTGACAAAAATCATGACTACATCTTTTTTATGTTACTTATTTAAATAGGTTAATCATGTTCCAACTACATTTTTTTTCCATTTTTCAAAGTTTAACCTAATATTTTAGTCAGTTTGAATAATATTAGTTTGAATAGAAAAGTTAAAAACAGTGTAGTTATAACCTGTAGTCTGTTAGACTTGCTGCATGTTTATTTAGGTCAATGTCTGTTAATGCTCTTCTCTTTCTGTACTATCAAACAGACTCATATATATATAATCTATGCTTTACGTTATAAATCAGCTCCTCCTAACATTCGTCATGTGGTATATCGCACACGATAGCTTTTTCTTTATCTGGAGATTATAAGTGTTATAATCTAATTAGGAGTGTTAAAGATTTTTTTTAGAAAGTTATTGTTCATGCAGGAAAAAATAATGACAATTTTATATTGTATCTTAACCGTTTTGTTTTGTTTTTTAAAGAGCAATATACTTGTTTGGTGTTGGATTAAACAGATATGCGAAATATGTCTGGTTGCATAATGGTAAGAAATCTGGAGACTGGAGTGTTTTGGCTCAAGATAGCCTAAATATATATATTTTAAATGTTTCCTTGGAAATTACCGAAAGACAAATCATTCATGTAATACTGTTATGTAGAGGGTTTCTGTGGGGTCTTAAAAAGTCTTAAATCTCAAAATCCAAATCTTAGGCCTTAAAAAGCTCTAGATTTACTGTGATACTGTGTTGTTGGTCTTAAATCTTTTTAAACAGGTTTTAATTTTCTTTTGTTCATGTATTGCTATCCAATCTGTCCAAACCCCCATACAATCACCAACAATCCATCTCTATGAAACTGTTAACTTTTTTATTTAAAAAGGTAATGTTTAACTCTATTTATCATAATGGTTTAATTATTTTCCTTACAATGACATTTGTTTCTCCATGTACTGCTGAGGACACTGACCTGGACAGATTGTTGTCCATAGATTTACTTTATTATAGTTTTTAAATATTTTAAAACATTTGTTCACTTTAGTATTATTTTAAAGAAGTTTATGTTGGGGAAAAAGCTGTATGGATACGAATAGAGCTTGCTTGTTTTTACACAATATTTAAAACATTTAGTTAAGAAAAAAAATCTAAAATAATTTAATTGTTTATTATTAATGTATTATTATCATTAAATTATTATTATTATAAAAAAATTTTGATAGGTCAAATAAATTTCTTTTGCATCTGGGTAATTTGAAAAAATCCCTAGTCTTTAGCGCTTTATGAGTCTAAAATTTCATTCAAAATGGTCTTAAAATGTCTTAAAATGGTGAAACCTGTAAGACAAAAGTAAGAAGTCAGTGTATAATTAGTAACTGGTCACATAATAAATAAAAACAAGACATGATGTTGATTTTATAATGCTTTAATAATTCACCAGTATATAAGAAACACACATGACATATATAGTGCATTTGCATATGTGTATAATAATAATATAATGACAATACATTCAAAACATTCATGACAAATTAATTAATCAACAAAGGCACTCATATGTAAGTTGCCCTGCACTATTAAAGAAGATGACAAGGCAACAATATAATACAAAGAGCAATCCAATGCAGCAGTCCTCAGGTGTGCTAGGGTTGCTGAGTTGTTTGTCCTGTCTTACTCCATGACCTGAAACATAAATCAGTGTTATTTGTCTAAATACATTACATTTTGGACAGAGTTTAAAGGATTAGTTCACCCATAAATGAAAATCCTGTTTTTAATCACTCATTCCAATCCCCTAAGACTTATGCTCATCTTCAGTAGCTTTTTTTTAGGTGCACAAATATGTTCTTGGACCTTGGTATGATTACAGTTAATGTCACATGCAATGTTTTAACCTTTTTTTCTGGACTTTGAACACCTCAGGACTGTTCCTGTCTAAGAAGGATGAGAGAACTCCTGGATTTGATCTAAGACAGAGGTGCTCAACCCTGTTCCTGGAGATCTACCTTCCTACAGAGTTCAGCTCCAACTCTGATTAAGCACACCTGAAGCAATTAATTAGCCTGAACAGCACTTGATAATTACAGGCAGGTGTGTTTGACATGAGTTGCAACTGAAATCTTCAGGAAGGTGGATCTCCAGGAACAAGGTTGAGCTCTCCTGATATCTTAGTTAGTGTTCTGAAGATGAAAGTCTCAGTGGGTTGGAACGACATGAGGGTGAGTAATTAATAACAGAATTTTCTTTTTTGGGGGGTTAAGTAATGCTTTAAGACTTAAGATCAGCTGTGTCCAAACTTTTTTTATTGAGGGCTAAAAACCAGTCTTGAATGAGCGTGTTGGACCAAAGTATACCAAACTCCTTACCATAAAGTTGCCATTGGCTATTTCCTAAGTTATTCAACATTTAAACAAAACTAGAGAGCATTGATTTATATTAACTAATGCAGTATTTATTCGTTCAGTAAAAACAATCCCATTTATAACAGAATGGAGTTACACTAGTCAAGCTGCACCTGTTTTTTGCCTTGATGTGCATCGCTGATGTGTTCCTCTATTTATTGAGTGACTATTTATATTTAATATAACATTTAATCGAATCTTTTACTTTCAGTTTGTGTTTCTGTTGTCATTCTCACTCTCTATTTAGATGGGATGGTGGGCCAAATCAAAGGGAAAATCAAGTTATCAAAGGCTAACTTTGGCCTGCAGACTCTGGTTTGGACACCTCTGCTTAAGATGATCAACAAAAATGAAAGCCATTTAGCTTTAGGCTTCATACCTTAAACCAGTTATGGAGATGCATCTCCTGCAGAGCGAGTCTCTCATCTGGGTTTGGCTGTAGACAACCGCAGATCATCTGGCAGCATTCTGTGCAGAAAGAAGAATGGGGTGTTTAAGTTTAATAGTTTATAGATCTTAATCTACAATGCCAAAGTGCGTTAGTACTTCCGATTCAGTTGCCTATGGGAGAAATGACTTGGAATAATAAATGGTCAAACTGCTCGCTCTACACACAAGTGGGCTCATGACTGTACATAAAAAGTAGAATGATATAATAAGAGAATGTTGGTGTGCAACATTAACCAGCATAGCAAGCAGTTTTTAATGTCTTAAAATTAATGGAAGTGAATAAGATTGGAAGTCTCGAACCAAAAAATTACAATAGTTGCACACGCTCGTACGTCAAAAATAGTTATAAGACCTGCTCTCTTCACACTTTGATGAAGCTCTCACCTATTGACAGGCCAGGGCTAGACCAAAGATAGTCCCTGATCAAGGAGTGGTCGGAGACAGTGGGTAAAGCCCCACACATCAATGCGAACAGGACGATCCCTAGAGACCAAACAGTCGCTGGCTGTGCATGGTACCTGCCATGCAATTCATACTCCGGAGGGAAATATTTTCTTGTGCCTAGAAAAAAAAGATATCATCCAATGGTTTATATGTTTAAACAGAATCTTCAGTGTGTGGTTTTTATGGAAACAAAGTTCATAACACTTACCACAGAAGACTTTGTAGCCGGAATCCTTTACAATCGCACCACAGCCGAAGTCTATTAGCTTTACCTCCAAAGTGTCTGGATTCACTAGGAGGTTTTCAAGCTTTATGTCCCGATGGAAGACACCGCGATCAAAGCAAACGCTCGCAGCATGAATGGCCTGCCGCATTATATGGCGTCCCGTCTTCTCATCAAGAGGTCCATCCTTGTGGCGTAAGAAGTGAAGCAAGTCCATACAAGGTATGGGTCGCTCCATGATTATAATGTAGTGGGCATCATTGTCCTCCCAGTCTAGGAGTTGGATTATCTCGGGGACGTAGGGACCATTGTTGGCCATAATTGTCAGGGCAATTTCTGCAGGGAGGGGTTTGTCATAACCAGGCTAAAGGAGAGAAATGATGACAGTTAGACAGTTTCCTGAAGGTCTTTTAATAAAAACTCAATTGTAATCGGACATTAACATACATATAAGGCTCTGAAACAATCTAATCAAGTGGGTTTATCTAAATACTGTTGTAAATGGAGTCTTTAGCTTATCTACTTTTTTTTCTTCAGATATTTTATGTAGTAGGCCAATAGTTTCACAAAACCATTTTGTTTTCAATTCTGTTTTAATTTCTACATGATAAAGTCTAGTTTAGATGTAAGCTGCTCGTTCTTCATGAGTGCTGTCATCTTTGTTTAGATCATTATTCAATTACAGTGGTTACCTCTAATTTTAAATGGAAAGCACAAAGCAAAACAAAAGCCTTACTTTATTCAATTCAATTCAATTCAGCTTTATTTGTATAGCGCTTTTACAATGTAGATTGTGTCAAAGCAGCTTCACATAAATGGTCATAGTAACTGGAACAGTGTGGTTCAGGTTTTAGTGTTTAAGTTCAGTTCAGTTTAGCTCAGTTCAGTGTGATTTAATCATTACTGAGAGTTCAAACACTGAAGAGCAAATTCATCGATGCGTAGCTCTACCAATCCTGAACCATGCGAGGCAGTGGCGACAGCGGAGAGGGAAAAAAAACTTCACTTTACTTGCTTACGTACTTACTAAAAGGACATGTTTTCATTTACTATATAACGTCTTCAATCCCATTTTGTCCCATCCTAAGAAAATCAAATCTAGAATCAAATCAAATCATGACATTGAATTGTATCTGGACTACTCACCACTGTGAGTTCCTTCATCTTCGGTGACTTTACAGTACATTTCACAGCAACCTGATCAACAAAGCAAAGAATTAGCAGTTAGCATGTGGTAGAAGTTTTGAATAAAGCAATGATAAAGCAATGTTTTGTTAGTGAAAGCACCTCAAGTCCATCCCTGCGGCGTGTGGCTTTGTAGACAGAGCCGAATCCACCTTTGCCCAGCTTGTCACCCATTTCATAATGCCTTAAAATCATGTCTGTTAAAAAATAAACAACTGCAGTCAGTATGATGTACAATTTTAGATATATATATTTTGTATTCACGTTTGTAATACTAATAACAATTCCTATCTTACCATTTTCTGTGTCGTCCTCCTCTAGCTGCTCAGCAGCAGGGACATGGTCTTCTGAAGCAGAAGCTGTAATACGAATCAAGTCACCGTTGTGTAAATAGCACTTTATATAATACAGATTATCATGTTTTTTAATTAGTCTATGAATGTAAAGTCACATATTTAGACTTATTTTAATTTCATCCCACACAGAAATCTGATATATGTCAATTTGATATACTGTATGTACTGTGTGTGTGTGTGTGTGTGTAGCCACAAATATACATATACATATATTATTATAGCTAATATATTTGTACATATTACATATTTGCTTATTTTTTACTACTTATTTTTGCATATATGTACAGATTTATAATGCAAATGGTTGAAAAAACAAATATAAACTGCCATTTTTTGCAATCATTTAACATATATGACACATTTTACATGCAAAATCCAAAAATGAACTTGTATGTCATATTTGTAATTTGCATATATTTTCATATATCACATTTCTATAGAGCATTTTGAGGGATGTAAACATTAACAGTGGTTCGAACATATATCCTGTTTTACATTTTTAATTTCCACAGCTTCCGAGAATGCAGAAATTTCCACATATTGATAAATATTGCTATGATAGCTGTTTTAACGTTAAATTATGACTGGATTTGCCTTTTATTAAGGTTATGAAATAGTTTGACATCAAGCAGGAATTGTTAATGGGCCAATGATATTAATACATTAAAATGGTATAAACAAGACCAGTTATAAAAATATTACTTGATTAGAGATTTGGCCATTAAACAATACTTGCATCATAATCACTTGTGAGTGTGATTTTACCTCTACTAGACTTCCAGACGTCCTTTTCTTCTTTACTGGCTTCAGGAACCTCATCAGGCCCAATGGGTGTTACAATGGGCTGACTAAAAACTTTTTGCTCTAACATGGCTTCATGGTAGTTCTTCGTGGCCTGGACCAGGTCGTATTTTCCAGTTTTGCGACGGAAGACTGGCCACTTCCAGAAGCCTTTCTTTACCTTTCTCACTTCTGGAACCTCTTCAGACCCAACAGGTGTTTCAATGGGCTGACAAGAAACTTTCTGATATACCTCAGCCTCATACTGGTATTTCTTCGCAGCCTGGACAAGGTCGTATTTTCCAGTTTTGCGATGGAGAACTGGCCACTTCCAGAAGCTTCTCTTTTTCTCCTTTCTCCCTATCTCTCCAACCTCAACATGCGGCTCATCAGAAAGATGAAGATGGTTCTCCGGCATGTTGGGGGTGTACTTGAGTAGTACACAGGGACTGTGATCAAACTGCATGATGAAAAATGTTTTCTGATAACTTTCTAATAAACTGTAATAGTAAACCGATCAATCTGCAACTCGAAATGCCAAAACTACAACCGACAAAAGCAAGTAGTAGAATGTCAGGCGATGATGTCATCCAGGCGCATTCTAAGAATTTTAATATGGAAGGCTTTGGGCTGTTGTTATTTTTCAAATGTTTTAATTTGTGCAAGTTTAAAATTTATGGGATCCTTTGCTGTTTTGTGTTTATAGTGGTTTGTAAATGCAGCACAGGGTTGCTTACAGGCTAAAATTATTAAGAAACCTGCATGGAGGAGTACATCAGATGTCTATATTGTGCCAATTGTATTGTATTGGGTCAATATTTGATGGCAGCCTCATACACATGCTGCTATCTGTGTTGTTATTAATGTTAAAAGAAGAAAATGACTCACTTTTTGTGACTTGTAAGGATAAAAATTACACATATACATAAATATGAATGTATACGTCCCTTAATTTGTATATACATTTTTAATGAGGTAGAAATTATCAAGGTGAACCAACAGAGTGTCTTTATTTTCATACTCTTATTTCTTGGCTATCAATTTTTATTGACATTATGAATAATTAAATTCAGCAAAGAAGCAGTGGATATACTTTAATTCTATGATTTACCACAAATTATGTTACAAATCTCTGAAATATTCTTGCAAAATATGACATTTTGTAAAGAAATATCCAAGAAAATGTGTAAGGCTTTGTCTTGCGTTGACTGTTAAGTGTATTTTATAAATTCTGTGATGTACAGACATGGAAAAACATTCTCAGTTTGACTAAAACATAAGTTTTTTTTTTCATTCCACACAATTCTGATCAAATTTATTCCCAATTTATTATAAATATATTGCCATTTTAGCATAAATCATTTTAAAATGTAAGTAGAAGTAAGTTTTAGACAAGTTTATAAAAGTTTAGTTTATTAAAAGTTAAGAAATCAATAGCTTAGGGCACATTAAGCTCATCAAATAAAAACTTTTGTTGTTTTGACCAACTTTTATTGTATGAAAATTAAAAATGCTCTAAATGAGAATGTTTTTATTTGAAATTTGGAAGAAATTGTATCAGTCCTTTATAGAATAAAACTAATAATAACAGCTTCCTCAAACCCATAACTAGCAAACCCAGAGAAATGGAGAATCTCTAATTCCCAAATGCAGGGTTCCACACAATTTATTCAGGCTATCCCAACACAAATAGACTAAGTTAATGAAACAAATTTAAGTAGATTGAACATAAAACAATTGAGTTATCTCCAAAAAAATATCAAGAATTGTGTTGCTTCAGCTCATTTTACTTAAGCTGTCTTTTGGCTGGGGGGATGTGTTTATACTTATAAGTGTTTATAGTTTATAAATTATAAAAAAAAAAGTTTATAAATTCCTAAGGAATTCCTAAGGAAATAAGTTTATAAATTCCAATTTTCTTGCTTTACCATACATTGAGAACCCACTGCGAGTCTTCCTGCTACATCAACCTCACATTTGGTTGCAAAATCAGCAGCAATCTTATGTAATTTTATTTTTATAGCTGTATATTGTGATTTAAAAGCTCAAAATATTACAAATATTTAGGACACACAAGCACTTATATATTTATATTTGATTGTCATCACATTAGACAACAAAATGACGTTTGCCTAAAAACCTTGTGCTGAAATAAGAGCACTGTAAATACCTATTTGACAAAAAATCATGACCACTTTTTATTACTTTACTTTTTATGTTACTTTAACTTATTTAAATAAGTTAATCATGCTCCAACTAAATTTTTTTTCCAGTTTTTCAAAGTTTAACTTAATATTTTAGTCAGTTTGAATAATATAAGTTTGAATAGAAAAGTTAAAAACTGTGTAGTTATAACCTGTAGTCTGTTAGACTTGCTGCATGTTTATTTTGGTCAATGTCTGTTCATGCTCTTCTCTTTCTGTGCTATCAAACAGACTATATATATATATATATATATATATATATATATATATATATATATATATATATATATATATATATATATATAATTTTTATTTTATTTTTTTATCTATGCTTTACGTTATTTATCAGCTCCTCCTTGCATTCGTCATGTGGTATATCGCACACGATAGCCTTATCTTTGACAAATGAAATCACAGCATGTTCATTTAAAAGTGATCATGGCTGCATTTTTCATCTTCATCATCACCTTTGAGAGGGAAGATCACTGTTGGCAGTGTTTTGAACACTTAAGGGCACTCAAAAGAACACGTATGGCTGATTTCCATTTTGTCTGGGTGCCAGTGACATCCTAAGTGCACTTCTGGCATTTGGCTGTCTGTAGAACACTTAAGACTAACATATATTTAAAGTGAAAAACATGATTATCTCAAGGAGCTGATTTTTCTGATATGAAAGCTTGTTTCTGAGCCTATTCTTGTGTATTTTGGAACATTCAATTTGGGTATTTGTTCCAAATCTTTAGGTAAAATAATAGAATATAATGAAAATAAATTGTTCACTCAACAAAAATCATTGGCTCTTAAATCTATTGCATTTCTAACATCTATGGGTC